ACAAAGTCATAATCATTTTGGATATCCATAGACAAGTTGGTTCTGATTATGCCAATGCCGCAATTTAAGTATATATTAATGACACAAACTTTCAAACAGCATTTATATTTTTTACGATGTAATTGTTTTAATTATGTGCTGCATTAAATCTCATTATTCATTTATATACGTTTATATACAATGTTTGGAAAAATATTGAAAGTTATATCTTTTGATATTTAACAATTGACAAAATGTAGTTTTATTCTGTTTCTATAATCAATAGGATTTATAGCAAGTAATTTCAATTTTTAAGTTAATGAGATCTGTACAACTTAAAAATATCTTAGATTATCTCTGTATTTACAAATATTACATTTTAAATAGTTTTTTTAAACATAATGTAGTTTATTGCATCCTAATACTATTGTTTAATCAGAAACAGAAAAAATCACAATCAATCAGAGTTGGTCATGCACCGAGACACTTGGACATATTGGGCATAAATCCAGCATAAAGATATTTATTTGGAGGAAATGAATTTTTTTGATATGAAAAATTATGTTCCAACACTTTATTCTGAATTAATTAATTTACGAAATTAAAACTGAGCTTGTATCCAAATCTCTTTTGTAAGTTTTACTTGTGTAATTTACCAACATTTAAGTCAACCCTATAAAGAATTTCTAGAATTCTGTATATAAAGTCAACATTATTAGTCTTTCATTACTATATCTTTATGCCGACTATGTTACCATAGTCCCATCTCAAGTTCTCAAACTCAGCGTTCTTCCAACTTAACACTTTGCTGTTGCAAATCGAACATCGCATTAGCCGCCGCGGCCACTGCAGCAGAAGCACTGGCCGCCTGCTGCAAGGCCTGCTGCTGCTGCTGTTGTTGTTGCTGCTGGCCCAACACACTCTTGATCGCTGTCGTTTTCAAAAGACGTTTTAACATCCCTGAACTTCCTCGATGTTGCAAACTTTTATGCGTCGTTAGAGAATTCTTTGTCCTGTACCGACGGTGACAGAACTCGCAAACATACAATGTGTCCGATTGTTCGTGTTTGTCTTGAAAATGTCGCTTCAGAGAATAGTAGCAGGAGAATGTCCTCCTGCAGTAAGGGCATTCTTGAGGTTCGTTTATGCCTCCAGATGTTGGAGGAGGCATCCGAAGCGGCGGGCCGGCGGGCTGCTGAGATTGCAGTTGCTGATTGTGGTGACCTGTTGAGGTGACAGGGTGTGAAGACAAGGTGCAATGGATTGGGAAAGAGGATGAAAATTTTGCGTTAGTAGATATAACTTGTGGTTTGAATTCAGTGACGAATATTTGTAACTATGTGCAATTGATAGTTAACTGACTTATGTCCAAAAAAGTCAAAAACATTTTGAACAAAACCATTCCTCAGTGAGGTTTTTTCTTAAGTTTTTAGTAATACTTAGAATGTCTAAATCAAATGCCAATCCGTTAATTTAGATTAAATTAAAAAAAAATGATATAAAAGTACATTCACCAATGATTTATTTTTATATTAAAAATCGTTTTTTATATTAAATAATATCAAATACCATACGTTACGTTTTGATAATCTTTCATTAAAAGTTTTCGTTTGAAGGAATGGTTTGAACAAAAAAAGTTATTGAATGTTTTGATAATCTCAATTCATTAACGTATTAATCATTTGGTAAGTTTAACATTAAGGGGTTATTCTAGTGTAAAAATTCAAAGAAATCGATTTTTTTTAATTTCATATTTTCAAAGTTTAACTATCTAAGAATATGGGTGCGGTAAGGTTTTTCAAAATCTGAATTATTTTCGGAGATATAGGCTTTTTACTGACTCGGTCTTCATACTGGTTTGGCTTCACGCAAAACTTTGAATGCGTTTTTCTCAGAACAGACTTTTTCAGTACCGACCGATTCACTTGAAACGTTCAGAGAGTCTTGTTTATAGACCTATCTATAGCCCGAACTAGAATTTATTCTCAAATCCCATTTTTTACTACTTTTAAAAAATTCGAGAAACTCAAAAAAACAGTAAAAAAAACACTTTTTTTTCAAACAGTCACCAATTTGAAAAAAAAAATTTTTTACTCATCGCTAGTTCGAGCGATTGCGACATCATTGTAGATCAATAATCTTTTTATTTTTTGCATTTCCGATGGCAAGGAGGGCTGAAATCATGTCAAGACTGAGGTGGCAATTTTTTGAGACCACCTACTTCATCACCTGCCAGTTTTTACAATTTTCAACTTTTTTATTTTTTAATTTTTGTTTTGTGTTTTAATAATATTAATAAACCAGTGGTAAAAAAATGGATAGTAAAAACATTCATTGCTTTCTTTTACGTCACTTTAAAAATTCATCGCTCTACACTAGAATACCCCCTTAATTAAGCTTTTATTTTTATCATTATTTGAAACTGCTGTTAAGAAATATCAAAAAGAATATAGCCTTTGCACATATTTACGCTTAAATCATTATCATATATTATAACAAATAATTTGCAAGTATTTCATTCATTTGTTTTAAATTTTGTATTGTATTAAAAAAATATTAAAAAAATCAAACATGTTGTGAAAAATTCACATTTAATTACTATTGAATGAAATACTAGCAGTGTCATTCAAATATATTGTTATTATGCAATGTATAACATATCTGAGTAAGCATGCAGAAAATTTTCATTTTCAAAATTCTTGGAAATTTAGTTAGAAATTAGGGTTAGTTTTTTTATCTCAGATATTTCAAGAATTATTCAGGTTATTTACAATCCGTATACATTAATTTGTGTAAATAATTGTTATTTCAGCAAATCAAATTGCATATCTATTATATTCAATTTCATACAATAAAAAAACCGCAGGTAAATTAACATGAAACTTTAATATTTAAAAATTGGTTTTCGTTAATTTAAAATAAAATTATCAAATTGATTGCGATGAACTATGAATTATGTACACGGATTATATATAATATTAGTATAATTTTAGAGATTATTCTAAAGATTAGTAAATGAAAAATAAATAAATAAGTTACCTAGGGATGCAGCGTGGACGATAAACATGACAGATCACAACACAAATAAGCAAGCACTAAACTTTAGATGCAAAATGCATAGAAAACAGGATCTTAGTTTCTTATAATAAGTAAAAGTATTTATTTGGAAAATTATAAGAAAAAAAATATAGTATGAATTCGAGTAGGGAGTTATTTTTAACTTTTGGTTTGGATTTAAAACGTGTTCGTCGTTATCACTACAGTTTTGATCATTTATTCTATCATATTTTGCTAATAAATAATGTATAATATGAAGCTACGAATTACTACTGCCTATTTAAAACCGTGGTTTCCAATCTGTGGGACGCACCTTAGGGAGGCACGAGGCTGTTGCATGGGAGGCGTATAGTTGTTTTCAAAGTACTATTTTCAACAAACCAAAAATTTCGAAACATTATCAGTAATAAACGAATAAATTAGAATTTTTTATATATTTTTTTACATAATATTGTATATTAATTTGTTAAATAGAGATAATTAAATTATATCAATTGAGTATTTATTGTTAAAAAAAATAAGAGATTTTTCATTATAACAAACGGGCGCGATGCGAAAACGTTGAAAACCACTTACTAGATCATCTTATAATTAGAATAAATATTAGCGCGGTAAAAAGTACCGACAAAAGTCGAAATGAACTAAAGTTCTTTGATTATTGAGGAAAAGTGGCTGGAAATCAAATTTATGCTTTACTGTAACAACTGTATTTAAAAACAAGCGTGAATTTAATTCGATATTCTTAGGTTTTTTTATTACTTAATTAGGAATCAGACAAAGGTGTCAATTATGCGAATTGGTTCGGTATCAACAAGAGAAATGTGGGTTCTTTAAAGACAATTAATATTTAAGCTAGTTGTGCTTTCCCTACAAGTATAACATTTTAAACAAGTGGTTCATAGATTTCGGTTTACTTGTTTTTAAAATATTTGAAAAAGAAATATTTGTGTGAAAATAAATCCGTGCGTAGCAGTAAAAGCTCGAAGACTTTGCCTATATTATTTATTGTTAAATATATCACCAGAACGAGCGCATCTAATGCAACCAATTCTTGATTTATTTTTGCATACATTATATTAAATTTAAATTAAAAGTATTTCTATATAAGATTACAAGATATATATTATACTATTAAGAGTAAGTTTAGAAATAGTAAATATGTGATAAAATATTTAAAACAAAATAATCAACTATCGATAAGTAGATGATGTGTTTATATATATATATATATATATATATATATATATATCATTTATAAGCATGCATGGAAAAGCCATCATTACATAGACAAGACATACACAAGCGGCAATAGAAGTTACAACACACAGTCAAAGTATATAACTAATATTTTTGCAATTAAATACAAACAATATAAAAACTTTTTTAACTAAGTCTAAACGCATTCAATTCTTAAATATTTTCCTAAAAATCAAACTACGATACAGAGGAGAAACTCTACAGATATCTACAGAAGTAGAAGTACAAGAAAATGCATGACGATCAAATGCAAAAGTAAAGATTTTTTCATGCATTTTCATCACTTGGAATCGGTGTATAGAAATCGTGTAGAAAATATATAGAATGATAGACAAAAAACATAACAGAAACCATAATAAATTAAAAAAAAACGTTTAAAAAATTAAGATAAACTTAATAAAATCTGACCTGTGCTATTTGTTTGTGTTTTCTTTAATATTCTCCCAATATTTTTAATCGAGTATATTTTAATAAATTTTTTTTGTTTTCAATTGGCATCCAAGATTTTTTTGTTGTTTGCATGAATTTTTAATCATTTCAGTCTCATTTTGGTTTTAATAATTTCGTAGCTCTGTTTTGTGCGCGTGTTGGCTGGCGGTCTTTCGGGCGGGCGGATGGGTCGGATCGGGTCGGACCGGGTTGGGAAGAATGTTCGGGAAGTCTATGGATCGAGGTCTATGGATCGATTAAGAGGTCTCTCGGGAGGTCTAAAAGAACTTAATATCCAATTCGCCCGGCCTACTTTTATGGTAGGTGTAAATGTGTGTCATTAGCGAATTTCGAGAGCAATATACTCTTTCACAGATGATGCAACGGTATTCTTCTTGCCGCTCTGCATGTTTGTCAGCAATGTGACGTTTCAATGACGCCTTTGAACACAACACCTTTCCGCACAGTTGACAAGTGAATAGTTTCTTTGGCGTTATCCCTGGAAAACAGAGACAGATATGGTCACTTTAAATTTACTCTTCGGAATGATTTCGATTCATTAGTTTTTTTTTATTTCATGATTCTAATTTTCTTTGCAAATATTTCTCATGTACAGTGCGCGTCAATGTTGTTTGTTCATCCCGATTAGAAAACTTGTCAGATAGAATAATTGATCACACATTTTCCTTTGATCGTCAGACATCAAAATTATTTTATTTTTGATCAAAAAAATTTTGAATGTCTTGTTCGACTCAAATTCTTAACCAACGCGAGAGTTTACATTTTAGTTCCAAGAAATTCTTTTTCACAAAAACAAAGATCTAATTCAAAACATCTGTCTCCATTTTTATATAGTTTCGTATTTTTGGTAATTTATACAATTCTGGTATTTTGACGCCGACGTCTTATTACTTATTGCTTTTCATTATCTAACATGTTCTATCAGGCACAAACAATAATAAAATACTAACAAAATATATATCTTGTATCGAAAATAAAAATTTTAAATTGAAATAAATAAAACAAATAAAATAAAATTAATATTTTATGTATATAAATAAAAACATATATAATTGTTAACATTTAGGAATAATTGATTCAATATATATTTTTGATATTATATTACTTGTAAATATATTAATCTGTAAACCGTTAAACATAACAAAACATATAATATTATTAGGGTTTTATAATATTATTTGTTTTTAATAATGCGTATACATACTTAATTGGTATACATATTTGATATATATAATTCTACATAAATGCAACATTTAAACACAAGATGCACACATCTATAAAAGGCAAGCATGGTGGATTCTTCACTTTATAAATTAAGAACATTCAATTTTAAGAATGCTTCTTAACTAAAATATCGATGGACGGAGAAAGAAAATATGGATGTAAGATTTCTAATCCAGAAAGTAAAACAATAAAACTCATAACTACAAAATACTCCAATTTTTGTATAAAGTTTGATCGAGATATATTTAATTTATCAAATCATATTTTTGTATAATTGTATTATAACTATCAGTCCATTAAATTTATTTTGGTTTTAAATAGAGTACAGAAATTTAAAGATGCACCATTTTACTTCAATAATTATTGGGAATAAAATAATTAGAACTGCAGAAAATTTTAATCAATTATAAAATAACTACAAATATCAATATCAATAGGGAAGGAAATTGCAATTACAATGATTTTTTATATTTACTGTTATAAATGTTTTCTAATATGCAATTGTTTAAATGAAATAATGAGATTAACTAAAACTTCAGATGAGTTAAAATGGTTTTGGCTGTCCATTAGTTTCTTCTAAATTTGATAAAATATTTAATTCATATATCAAACACCAAAAATGGTCTGAAAATAAAAAGCAAAATATTTAAACTTTAGCGGAAAAAAAAGTATTATATTTTGATTATTTCGAACTACTTCTAAAATCAGTAATACTAACTTCAAGCAGAATTATAAATATAATTGATTGAAAGTCTTATTTTTAAATTTCTGTACTCTATCAAAAGAAAAGTTTCTCCCTTATTATCGTTAAAAATGGTATATGTGTATAGTATATACAAGTATTTTGTATACGAATATTTATATATTCATATATAAATATACAAATATATGAATACACGTTGGAAGAAATAATTTATAACCTATATTAGGGGTTTAACATTCTTACATACATTGTATAAAATTTAGATTAAATTTAGATTCGACACATTTCTTTTATAAAAACATCGTTCTCCTTGATTTAGCCAATTGCACTAATATACATATTTACAATGCCTTCATTCGCTATTTGAGTATAAATTAATAAATAAAAAGTTTTAGAAAAAATGCACATTTTTATAGTAAGTATTTTTAAATTGAAGTGAAAATACACGAGTGTGGCGGAATAATTTGCAGTTAGAAATAATTAAATTAACAAAAGTATTTTATCTATATTTTTAAATCAATATTAGATTAAATACTTAGTAATTATTGGATATTGCTAGTGAAAATTCGCTCGACTCTACTATGTATATTTTGGTAGTGCATAGCTGCAAATTATATAATTTTTTTTTATTAAAAGAAATATCTTATTGATTGAAATATCTTCTTCGACATCAATTAACAAAACAAGTTAACTTTTACCACGTAAAAATAAAAAAATACACGAGCAAAATATATTAGATTTCTGAAATATTAAACAATAGTGCTTAATAAAAATATGTACTTTGATAAGTAGTATTTAGTTTATTCCAAAGTTTATTTTTTAGAGTCTTTATTATTCCATTTCATGCAAACACTCGAAATCCTCTTATATCATTTACAGGCGAATATTTACGAAGTTTTTGAAAAATTATAACTTACATTTATAGAAATGTCCAAAAATATGGTAAAGCTATGTTACGGGTCTGTCTTTCTATGAATTGGTAGTAACGAACTGTAAAAAACCTATGTATTTGCTGCGGAATCAGGTATTTTGCTCTTAAAACCTAACTTAAAAACTTAAAAAACCCACAAATATCAAATAAAAAATATTCTCATTATTGTGCAATTTTCTGTAGTCTTATTGAAAACACATATACGTGAATTTGGGTTTTATATGTAAAATGCCTAATTGCACAGCAAATACATAGCTTTTTGAGAGTTTGCTACTAACTCATACGAAGATAGACCCGTAACATAGAACATTCGAAGACGAACATTTAAAAAGATGCTTTGTAAAAATGTGCATTTTTCAATTATATAAAATCACCTCGATTCTCGGCAGCTCTTTTTAATATAATGATAGGACGTTTTTCCTACTTAATTTAATATTTTATTATTCCAATTTCATTCAAAATTTTGAACATCGATTCAAGAGCACCAGAAGAACCGCCGAGTTCGAGTGCCACTTATTGCCCAAGAATTATTGCAAAATATGAAAAATAATATATTATAAAGGTTAAATATATTCTATAAAAATGTGATTAAAATAGTCATAAAAATAATTTAATAATATAATCTCTATAAATGTAATATATTAATAAAATCCCATATACCAACGTATATATCTAATTGTTTTTATATATAAATATCATAAAATATATTACTATTATTATAATTGTATATTTTTATATATATGATCGCATATTATACGATATTATTAGACAAAGTTCGTTTATGTTATGTATAAAAAATCACTGGTATATGCCCAATTCTATAGAACCGATATTTTACTTTATACATAATGTATTTAATATTCCGGATATTAATTCTCAATCAGTCAATGCCGTATTTACAAACTTAAATTTTAATACTGTTCTTTCCAACATTTGTAATTTAAACAAGATTTAAAAAAATACAGTCTCATTAATTTTCAAAATTATTTCAAAATATAATTTTTTGAGATTCATCATTCAGTCAGTTTTTTTTTCCATTTCATGATCGATTCTAACTTAACCAATTTGGTACTTATAGCATCCTACAATCATATTTTTCTTGGCGATATTTTTAATATCTCAATGGCCAACTTTTGCAATCACAATTTGTAATATCAATTATTTTATTACCAATCTTCAGTCTACAGTAGATTTATAAATATCACATTCAATAACGTTTAAATTATATGGAGTCGACATATTGGAAGACAGAAGTAAATTTTTTTTATCTATGCCTTTAAGACATTATATTAATAACTAACATATTATAAGTTATATAAAATATAAAAGAAAACTGTAGTTTTGCTCACAAAAATCATGCCACACATTTTGTTACAAAAAAATTGTAAAAAAAGTTCAATTCTTGACGCCTACTAATAATTGCAGAAATTAATAAACAAATACGATTCTCTAAAATAAAATTTTTATCAATATCAGAGATCTCTCTCAGATCAATTGCATTTTAAGAGTCTCAATTCTTATTTGAAATTTTATTATTTTGAAATTTTCATTTGGTGTTTAATATTTTCCAGTTTACTTACGTTTTTCCTAGTCTATCCACGATCGATGAACACTTCAAACTATATTTAATTATGTTTATCTTCTTATCATCTTTTTATTTAATTGAAAAGATGAAATTGTCATGCAATTCAAAATATAAATATACATACTCATTTATTTAATTCCGTCTAAAAATATTCCAATTAACGATTATGCACATTGATATTCTCGAAAAGTAATTTCTCTTCTCAAAATTTTCCACACACACACACACATATATATATATATATATATATATATATATATATAATATATTAGGGTGGTCCTTAACATGGATATTTTCGAATTTCTTTGCTCCGCACTCCAAGCAAAGTTTCTGATGGAAATAACATGGGTAAAATTCCATTTGTTTTCTAGAGTTTTATAACTTAGCGATTCAAAATTTTCAGAATAACATTGTATTGATCAGAAATAAAAAATTTACAGCAAACATTTGATATATTTTATAAAATCAATATTTACCAAGAAACTTTAGTTGGGGTGCGGACTCTATTAAGATTTTTTTTTATCAATTTGGAAGCATTTGAGCTCCTTGGAGCAAAAAAATCGAAAACAACTATATTAGGAACCGCCCTTATATATATATTGCATATATATTTCAATATATTTATAGCCATTTTATTAATTCTTTAATTTAGTTTATTGGTAGCTGTTATAGCAATTTTGTCTGAGAATGAGTTGAATTTTAATTGATTTTACGTAGTAGTTCTTAAGATGTTTTTTAAGAAGGAATTTGATTCATATTTCACTATTTTCATTAAGAAGAAGAGCAAAGTAATGCTTTAAAAGAAGTTAAATGGCGAGAAAGATGTTCTCGGTAGGATCGATTTAGCTGAAGTTTTTTGTTTACTGATACATTCAATATTATTAGTATAGATTTGTGAGTAAGTGAATAGATTATCTAGACTAGAATTCCAATATAAATTCATTCAACAGGAAACAATAAGTATTATGTTAATCAAGAAGCAAAAGAAATGCTCCAAGCAGTCAACGAACTGCCATAGATGATCAAACTCTAAAT